TCAGTAATAAAGGCCTACTAACATTATATAAATATACTCCAGTCAAAATTTAGTAGGAATAGCCTGTAGCAACGCAATACTCTGGAAGAAATAAATTCATAAATAAATGCTATTCCGATAGATAGGGAAAAAATTCAAAATATTTTTGGGGATCGACTTATGTGTGAAATTATTTTATCGCACAAGCATAGTTTCACAGATGATTTGCGGACTATCACATATTACATCATATATACTTTAACGAGGATCAGAAACACATTTTATTTATGTTGCACACGCATTGCCCTTGAGTCGCTTCGCATGGCTGGACAATATATTATTTTTTATTAAGACAATATTCAGATCTGGGTCAAGGACGCAATTATCATCCAAATCTGTGTAATTTACGGTAATATACTTTCCGTAAATACGCTCTTCGTATTTTAACGGCGAAATAGATATAGGATTTATTTGTGATGAATTAATCTTATATGCCTCTAAAATTCTGATGAAGTATGTATAATTATATTTTTTATCAATACTATAATATCCAGGATTCCGTGGCCATTTTAACATGTCAAGCCAATATGTACCTCTAACAACCATATAGCCTTGCTAATATAATAATTTCTTAACAAGTATGATTGTTGCAAAACCTAATTGATCCCATAATTGGACTCTCTTTTCATATACCCAAACATTATTTGCCAAAAAGCAATAATCCTCATACCAAATTTGTCCTGAAGGATAATATCCTTCATTTTTCATACCTAAAAACTTCATATCATCAGGAGTATCATCATTCCTCACCACCTCCCAAATTCGTTTTGCCAAAGATTCAGGTCTCTTCTTGTAATTCCTGTAAGCTCGCTGGATAACTGTTGCATAGAAATTTTCAAAGCCATGATTATTATAGTAGTATTTAAGAATCAAGAATCCCCAAGATCGCTTCATTGATCTTCCTAAACTTCTTGAAAAAAATTTCGTTATAGATTAGAGGGGTCTAACCCAGAATAGGCAGATCACATTTTTATTCGCCTGCAGGTGGTACATTCACTATACTGTATAGCTACTATTCATTTCGATTATATCATACATAAGTTATGTATCGCACCTTTGGCTAAATATAATTGAGATAAATAATATTAATATTCAGTCGAAAGATATTAAGTCTATCTCCTTGCAATTTTTCGCACAGAAGCCCAGTACTCATCAACATCAATAAAGCTAGTCGCATATTTCATATCATATCGGGGGCGATTATTATCAAGTTTAGATACAACCTTATTAAATCGATAATATTAATAGCTAGCCCGGCATACACAAATTATGCGGTTAACGTTATGATTTATTTATAGCGTTTTTAGTGGAATACAGTGATTCTTTATCAAGTGATAACAGATAATCAAATTTATACGGGTGTTTGAGCTGGTCAAGAGTTAGAATATGCGTATTTCTGTATTTATAATTATGAAATGTGTAGTCAAGAAAAAATCACATGATGCAGATAAGCCAATACGCAAGCTTGATCTCGCATCCTATCATTCCGGTGTAATGATTAATAGATTGTCTCGTAATTTACGTAGCGAGAATGTTATGCCGAATATTTCCTTTTACCGTATCTTCCGATGCATAGATACAGTACATAAATCCGGATCAAGAAATTCGTGGCACAATAGTTTATCCGACGAACAGTTACAGATGCACAATTAAAAAATTCAAGCCAATCCCAATGTGGATGGATTAATGAATACTTATTTTTGCGTAAAAAGTGAATCCGCCATCACGTGATCGTTACATTATAATGATATTAATTAATATAACTAAAATCAATCAGTAAAACAATATCTAGAAAATTTATCAATATCCAGGTGAAGACGGTTCATTATACTTTAATGGATTGATACTGCGTGCTTTTTTACCCTTAGGTCGTTTTGGTGAGCATGTCTTGGTGTCACCAATATAGCTTTTCAATTTTAAAACTTGAGAGCGTGAAATTGAATGGCGGCGATTTGATTTCTTCAACTCCTCAAGAATTTTGATAGTATTATCCAGACCCCTCTATAACAAATAATTTGTAATGAGATGTTCTTATTATAGAAGTAAAGGTCAAAAATATTTTTTACGTACCCCTAGATTCCACAAGATTGGTATCGCACTCAGAAGTTCGTGGTGATTCTCCCAACTAATTGGAAGTCGAAATGCACCAAGTAGAAACATTCGGTAAACATTTTTAACAGGTAGGTCCATCCCCCATACTTGAACATCTTGTCCTATTGGAAAGTATATATACTTGAATATGTAATAAAAACAAAATTCAAAATACACACTTCACTTACCATGAACATGAAGAAACCATGTGCGTAATTGTCTCATTATCTTAAAATCGCCACACGCAAATTTTGCAGCTGCATCATTAAGAAGATCACGTTGACCCCAGAATCCACGAACATGATCCTTTAAATATCGGGGCAAATCACAAGTTAAATGTCCACCAGACAACTCAACCATTCCAAATTCAATATCAGATGACTGAAAAATCCCATCGACTTTGAGACCCAATGGCTTATCATCTTCTGGTTTAAGATCACGTCGGATTAAGCGCTGGTTTGCACTTGCCTGAAGATAAGCCTCTCCTCTGTTTTCGTAAATGCATACATTGTTATTACAAGGAAAAAAAATGAAAGAACCGTCAATTTGATACCTACGGTATATAAATGACACCATGATCACTTGCATTGGCAAGATACTGTAGGATAGGATGAACCAGGAGGGAACCCAGAACTGACTCCTGTGAACGGGGTTATGAAAAGCACTGGTAGGATTGAACACTGTTTTCGAACTTTGAAATTAAAACGATAATTAGTAACCGTAAGAACAATAAATAGTGCTTGAGTCAAAAATAAATACTTACAACCATAGAAGTACATCAATGACAAATACCAATTGCTTGTTTTCCCTGAAGTTGAATTTTTTATCATAAAGAACTTCTGTATATTCCGTCAGCGAGTCCTGTAGTTGGTTAAATGGATAAGGATCAGATTTATTTTATAATAATACTATATCAGAAAAACATCTTTTGGATAATTACCGTTCCAAGCAGAGTATCGAAGAGATCAATCACATCAGTGGATAGAGGACATTCAGGATATTCAATGCTTGCTTGTAAGTATCTCCAATCATTTTTCTGAATCCATTCAGGTTGTCGAACATTTGCTCCAACGCGTATAATTCCCAGGTTAGATGGGCTGTAACATAGATGGACAAGTATGCACAGGCTTAGATAGAAGATAAGGATGAAAATAAAAGATTTGGAACTTACTGAGATTTGTGAAGAATGGTAGGACCATGAATTGCTTCAGCAACAGTTATACCAGAAGGTAACTTCCAAACATCCATCGGGCTTTTTTCATCAGGATACTTTGGAACATTTGTTACATCTTCTGAAACAGATCCAGATCCAGATTCAGATACATTTGGATCAACTTCAACTCCCAACCTCGATCTGCTCTTCAATATCTTCAATTACATTTTTATTTTCAAGATCTGACTCGTCATCGCTGGATTCTATTCTTTCGCTATCTTCGCTGTCTTGACCATTAACAATATGCTTTATTATAAACAATAGAATAACGGTAAGTCAAAAATAAGTAGCGTTGATAACATATTAATATAACATGGAATTAGTTCAACCCAGTTTGGATTTAAAAACTCGCACATTTTGTCGACTACGTTTTTGCCATACTTCTTTATCGTTGTCATTGTGCGATCGCTTTTTCCCTCTTGTTATTTTTCGAAAATGATTTGATATCTTTTGAGAAGAGAATAAGCTTTTCTCTAGTTCTTGAACTCTATCGGAGATTTGTATCTCAAGGTTCTGATCGTAGAAATCTTCATATATATCTTTACAGCTTTGCAAGACGACCGACCCTTCGAAGGTTTCGTCAATATCCAGTAGATCAGCACAGAAAGTACGCACACTACCCGGAATTTTTTTAGTACCGTTCTTTATAATAACATTGAGCGACTTCTTCCAGTCATCATAGACTTTCATCCAGGATAGGATTGACTTATCTTGTTTCAAACGATAATGTAAATAATGTTTGAGTCGCCAATTTTGAGCTTCGACATTTTTAAAATAAAAATGTACGTCTTCAAAATTAGGCGACACGAACTGTAAATGCTTTGTCGATCTCAATGTTGCAGTCATTAAGCTATACGCTAAAAAAAGGAGAGTAAAAGGTTTTTTTAGAAAAGTCAGAGATTACAAATTATCTGATAGTAGATCATCACAAAATCATGTGGTATTGTAACCACAAAAAACCAATCGTTATTTAGACAGAATTCCACACCTACAAATAAAAAATAAGTTAATACGAAAAGAGTGGTGACAGAGGATGCAACTATGCTGAAGTTCTCATGCGGCCAGGCATTGGCGGTGAGATGCTTCCCTTGTATCCTATCCTTGGATACGTAGGAGACGCCGTAGCTTTATGCGGCCAGGCATTGGCGGTAAGTTACGAGTTGCTTGTTGATTGACAACTGTTCGCGCGGCCAGGCATTGGCGGTAGCAGTTGATCCATTGTCTTTGCCGTAGTTCTTTATGCGGCCAGGCATTGGCGGTGAAGTGCTTCCCTTATATCATCTTATATCTAGGAGACGCCGTGACTTTATGCGGCCAGGCATTGGCGGTAAAGTTACGAGTCAGTGGATATCCAAGTTATCTCTTGGTGATCATGCCTCTGTCGCACACCCTTTTTATTATCCATTCTGGACGGGACATTATGCAATTTTAAGAGGTACGAATATTTTTTTTAGCTGTGCATTTGCAGTTCTGGGCTTACAAGCTAATAGATAATTTTTCGTTCAGAATTTCGTCGACAATATTAGTATCACATAAGACGAACAGCTTTGCTAAGGTTAATGATATCAATTTATTTGCATAAATGTTAAAATGCTAGAGAAGCGAAAGAAATATGATGCTATCAAAGAGGGAGGGAGTACGCGGATCCTAGGCCATTTAATGCGAGTCCCAGCATCAAGTTATTTCAGTTTTATTGTTAATTTCTATATTAATTGTTTTGTTTCTATCACTATTGCTAATTACAAAATTCTTATCCCACTCTTTACTACACTAAAATTTCCTAAATAAATTATCCTACCCATTTCTACGCCTATCTATATCACTCCAACTCGCACAGACTATGTTAAAGATTATTTCTCGTAAGAGAACTTCAAAATTAAGAAATTTCGAATCTATATTATAATTAAGGGAGTATTAGCAACCGAGTTAAAAAAATAATACAGTATTTCCAATTCACACTTACCGATATACTTAGTTTTCACAATATTACATTCCGCCTCATATACAAGAAATTGGTTACTTGATTTTTTCTGCGTTATCGCCCGAACGATACTGCGCAAAGTTTCAAGAATTCGGCACGTGAAGATGCTTATGCCAGATGATATACTGCGCCAGACTTTTGCTGTGCCGTTGCATGTGATGAGATTCATGTGAGTAATTTCACTGCGTCTATTGTACGTATGTGATTTTCTCAAAATGCCGATATATAGCAGAAAAAGTAATATGTCCGTTTTTATTTTGGAACATCTATAGAGGTGGGAAAATCGATTAACATCGTGATGACATATTTCAAGAAGCTAGCCAAGCAATAAAACCAATGTACCTTATTATTACTTTACGGATAATCTCGTTTATTTGATTAAGGATGTAAGTTTGATTAGATATTATTAGTTTCACTTGATTTTTTGCTTATATTTGCGCAAGACAGATAAAAAGATTCACTAACCGGGACATCACCTTTTTATACAATTTGCAGGATCGATCTTGGAATACACTTTGGGGAAAAATTACGTTAATATGATTGCATCACGAAAATCTGATCAACGGCATCCCCTTAATTAAACAATAAAGAATTTAATGCTATCCATATATAAAGATCATCAGGGGGCTATAAATAATTTTGAGAATGTACGAGAATAAATTATTTTGCGCAATTACTTGCACCCGTGATATATGTTGACATACTGCGCATTTATTTATCAAGCTACAATAAAACCTGATCAAAAAAATATTGTTCCACACAATTTCACAACCCCGCTCCATGCAAAAAAATTATAAAATCTGGTAAATTTGTGCCATTGCTTTATTGATCAAATTATCTGAGGACATTCACATCACTTATATATTCCTTTCGCTACCTTCTTACACCTTTTGCAATACAGATGTGAGTGATGATCACATTCCTTACAAACCTTACATCCATGCTTCTATCCCCTAAATATATGCTATTTTTCAAAGTAGTTCTGGTCTTTCGGCTCCTTATAAGCTTTATTATCCTGATTGTTAGGTAAGAAATTCGGCATGATATATTAATAAAATCACCAAAATTTTCTCGAGAAAAAAAGTAGGTTATAAAGTCCCCTGTGTTATATGATAATCGTGAATACTCTTCACGCTTCCAACCAATAGAAACATGATCTACAAGAAATACTGATGAACATTGTGTCCGGGTTCGCCCAATTGCACAGAAGCAGGATCAGCATCTGATTAATATTTTTTATGCATATAAGATCAGCATCATACTTGGCTGGATTGTATAATGGCAAATTTCAGCAGTCTAAAATCGTGTATTTTTCTCTGAGATCGCTTGGTATTTTTTTTTGGTTTATAGCATTTGACTTTCATTTCTTCGGATGAATGACACTCAGATTCAACTATCTTCACTTCAGACTCGGATGAACTAGACTCAGATAATTCAGTCATAGCATTATATAGATAACAGATTTCTTGGCCAATTCTTTTAAGATTTTGATGTATTTTAGTTACATCATATTCTAACGCTATGATGTTCTTTTTGATCTCTTGATAGCATCTACCTTTTCTTTTTTTGAATAATATGTATGATACTTTTTAGAAGGTATTTTCATATCTAGGAAAAAAATAAACTGAATATTTATTGTGTCAGAAAAAATCTTATAATTATGTAAGTACTGCGATTTGTCTCCTCCGATTGCATATATGCACTATATTACTAATCTGGATCACTGGCATGAACTAGATTCTGTGATTTCAGTTGCAAAGAAGACAAGTTAGGCGTACATTCCTTTGATATGCCCCAAATTATTATGAATTCGATCTACTGTCCATTGTAATATATCTCCTAGCCGATCCCATTTGAATTTCATTTCTATAAGGCATAATGTGCATCTGTCTTCTTGAATATGTTTTAATGTGAGGATATAGTCAACTGTTAGATCGAATTCACAGCCTTTTTCCTTGTCCTAGCCCATATATCTGATAAGTTTTTTCTGAATAGACAATTTCAATTCATGTTCTAGCCATCTTTTCTTTTTTGCCTCCTCAATTTCTTAGGCAATTTCAGGAGATAATGGAGGCGTTTCAACCTGAATGAGTTGGCTTAAATATTTCACATGACTAACTGCTAAATATATTAGGTTATCTCAGGCTAGGTTTTTATCAATGACCCAAACACGCTGTGGAATCTTGAGGGCAGTGATGTACATTTTTGATGTTTTAGAGATTTGTTATCCTAGCTATATATCTCAGCTATATATCCCAACCTGTCCTACACTATGTTCCAAATGTCTTATCTATCCCATCTATGTCCCATCAGCATCCCATCAGTGTCCCATCAATGTCCCATAACAACACTGCTTAAGGGTCATTCTTTGACTAGTATGAATAATCATAGCATATCCAAATTCCTAATCTATGTCTTTTTTATCTACCAATAAATCTTTTAAAAATTTATTAGGGAGTGTATTTAAGGGTAAGTTCATTATGTCATTTTTCACTAACTCTTTCTTTTTGGATGAGTCAGAAATTGGAATAAGACAATTTTATTTGCATCCATCTTTTAGTCTATAGATTAATAGGATCAGCACATCAGAATATTTTTCTTGATAAAGTTTTAAGCATCTTTGAAAAGCAATTCTTCAGGAAAGTAGATATACTGATAAGATATGATCTGATGGCTTCCATTTAGCTTCGAGATATTCTCATTTTTCTGTGACTGAAAATGCTTCACAGAATAGGTCTAACTGCACTCTTTTTGACGTCACATTTTTTTCTTAAACTCTTACAGTCTAAGGCATTTAGCCTGATAATCAGTCAAGATTTCCTCATAATAATCAGCTTACTCTTTTAATCAGTCATGAGGCATTTCTCTGAAAAATAGTAGAGGTTAAGCGTCATTCTCGTAACAGATTATCTAACATTTTTGCTCTAGTAAATAGTCGATAAACTTCTCTAAAATATGTCTAGACACTGTATATACTTCATCTTATATAACAATTTGTGGAAATTCTTTTCTCCTATGCGTTCAGAAGTTCACTCTCCTACACTATTTCATCTAAAGAAGCTATATCAAGTTTGGGCTTTTACCTTACAATCATTCTGGAAGTCTTTAGCCAATGCATTTGTATGAGTAAAGATTACTATGTTTATTTCTTTAAAGATTTGGATTGCGCGTATTGTCTTTTTAGAACCACCGCTTCCATTAAGATATGAAACTCAGGATCTTGTAATAGGATCACGAATTGATGAAGTAGTACTCTCAGTAATATTTTTAATTGATTCTCAATGCCTATTTTTTTGCCAGTATACAACATTAGGATCTGATCTATGAATCTTCTCACCTTTGGCCAAGCTGAATTTCTCGAATCTTTTCCTCTAGTAGTAGAGAAATGGACTTTTTGGCACAAAAAGCCCAAATGCGTCCAGAAGGTTTTCCTGGGTATCAAAAAATTATACTCATAGCGTAATCCCTTTGTTTTCATACTTGTAAC